AGACGACAATGATGTTTCTGAGTTGACACTCTATTTGACAGAGAGTCAATTCAAGGAGAAGCAACAAGAAGATAATGGTTCGGTTGTGGACTCCTTCGATATTCTTAAGTGGTGGTCAACTCATGGTTTGCGATTTCCTGTTTTGGCTGAAATTGCTCGGGATGTATTGGCCATCCCAATATCAACTGTTGCTTCCGAGTCGGCTTTTAGCACAGGAGTAAGGGTTCTAAATGAGTTTAGAAGTTCTTTGGCTCCCCAGATGGTTGAGGCTTTGATTTGTGGTGCTGGTTGGTTGAGAAGCAACAACAATATAATTTTAATCGATGAAGAAGATGTGCCTGAATCCGAACAAGAAAAGGAATACCAAGAAGGTATGGGATAGCGATTTACTTTTACTTATAAATATTTACTCTAACTAATGCTTGTATGAGTAACTTGTTATTTGATATTTGTTTAACATAGTATTGCAATCCATTGGAGCACTATCATTTGTCGCTAGTGGAGGGGGGAATTCATCTTCCACAAGTCAGTAGAAGGTAAGAGTATCCTAGGATCTATGTGTTTGATATCACCTCTGGTTGTGAGCTTCCCAGCAGTCCCTCTACCCATTAGTAGTTTCTCTACTAGGCACAGAATCTAGATGCTCAGGAACTTAGGTATGCTTGCAAATTGGAATGTTAATTCTAGCTCGGGCATGCATCTCTGATCTCTGCAGCTTGGGAAAAGCCATGGATTTACTTTTTCCTTATTTTCTCATGCAGCTGGATAAGATAAAGGAAGCTAGCTAGCTAAGCACATGATTAAGCTTTTGATACCCACCTTTGCATGCAAACGAATATTTCCTTTAATTGCATGACCGATGGGTGTTTTGATTGAGACAAAATGCAAACAGATCTCCTGGACTCCTGATGAGAAATATATGCTTTCATTTTTGGCAGGTGAGGATCTTGGTACTTCATATGCTGGGGACAAGTAGCAGTGAGGAAAGTGTGGGAGGCTGGGAGCACCCTAAGTTTTGGAGATACAGTGGGGAAAATGGCAGTGGGTTTGTCACTTTGTCTTTGGGATGTAATTGCCTTTGGGATGTTTTGAAATGAATGCTTGTGCATACAGGGATTGAATTTATGTTTTTGATCATATCGTGTTCTTATTATTCCCCGCAAGAGCATGTTATTGTTAAGATATGTAATGTGATGTCATTTAAACTTTGGGTATTTTATGGGTAGTATGGGTACTCGTTATCCGTCCCGTACGGGTAATGGGTACCCGTTTCCCATATGGGTTTGGGATATGGGATGGACTTTGGTCTCCAAATGAGACTGGGTACCCGTTTAAAACGGGACGGGTATCCCGTCCCGTCCCGTTGCCCACCCCTAGGATCCACAAAGCAGCTTCTTCGCCACGTCCTCCAAGCCGCAAGATGGGTCGGCTTATACCCACAAGCCCATCATTGGCTCACTTAAGTGAGCCACCAGAGCCTGCCTCTCTCCTCCGTTGGATCTTACCTGGCATCAAATCTAACCCTATTAGCAGTGTTGTGAAAGCCGAGCCGAGCCGGCCGGCCGGACCACCAAAACCGTCACCCGGCCAAAAAACCGGCTCGACTCAGCTATTTAGTCGGACTGATTCTTTGGGGTGGTCGGCGAGTAGCCGGAGCGGTTAATCGCTCGATCCGTTCGCCCGGCTTTTCCCATTGGGCCGGTTGGCTTAATTAAAAAAAAAGAAAAAAAAAAGAAAAACTAAAAAAATGAAAGAAGGGAGGATCGGGCTCGGGCTGTCTGAAACTAACCCTAATTCCAAAATTCAATTGTGCAGACTGAAAGAAGCCGCCGCTTCCTTCGCCTGTTCGCCAGTTCAAATCTCCGCCCTTGTCGTCGTTCCCCATCGTCGGAAGCCAGTCCCCCATCGCCATCGTCGTCGTTCCCCGTAGGCCGCTCGTCGATTTGGGGAAGCCAGCCCTTCGTCCAACGTCGCCATCGCCATCACGAGTCGCCTGTCGCCAGCGACGAAACTGCTGCTCCTCCCCTGCACCCACCACTGCTGCCCTCCTCTGCACCGGTCACTGCCACACTCCCCTGCACCGTCCCCTTCTCCCACTAGGTAAGTGCTGCTGCCGTGAGTTATTTAGTGATTTAGATTGAGTTATTTAGAAGTAGAAAATGTTAGAGGTTTTGAGTCAAAGTGATGGATGGTCTAATGGCGGTGGTGGAGGGGCAAAGGCATGTGATGAGACGTTCATTCATTCATTATCATTAAGAACTTTCAAGATGGTAGTGTTAGATTTATAATTGTATATTTTTAAGACTTAAAGTGTAATTTACTAATTTAATTATGGTTTACCATTATTAAGAAACGTTCACTATTTATATTTTATACGGATTGTTTATTAGGTACCGGTTCTCTAATAGTTTTTAAACGGTATAATGCCGACCGCTAAAGACCGAGCCATTCACATTATCGGGTCGTACTCCAGTTTGCTTCTGACAACATTGCCTATTAATACAACAGATCTAGCAGTTAGCAGAACAACTTATGCGGGAAAGCAAGGTTGTCAACCCGCGGGTCGACCCGTGGGTCAACCCAATTTGACTCTGACCCGGTGAGAAAAACGGGTCGCGCGCACCCGTCGGGCCGACTGCTATAAGGTACCGGGTTGGAGGTCAAATTGTATCATTTTTTTCTTTAGTTTGCGAAATGCGCCTATTTTCCAATTTTTCTTTTCGCCTAACTCAATCTTTGGAATACTAAGTTGAACATTTGAATATTTATGTTATATAAGTGTGTGTGAATTTTCACTATATGTTGGATCTAAGTACGATATGTTATTTTGGTGTAATATTATATGTTATAACTCATATATTAGATAAGATTTGATATAATTTATGAGGATAAGTACAATATAATAACTCTTTTTATATTTCCGGGCCAAACCGTGCTAAAACGGTTGACCCATTAACCCTTGACCCACTAGCTCGACCGGGTCCGGATCAACCCGCTGGTTGACATTTGACAACCTTGCGGGAAAGAAAGATTTCTCATTTCTGCATCTCGGCATCTGCTTTTGATTTCTAGATTCCCCAACCACAACAATTATCTTTTGTTTTTGTTGTTAATTGCACCATCTACCACTTAACTTAACTATTTGTTGTACGTTAACCACCTAAGTAATTTACGTTGCAACTAAATCATTTATGTTACCTTCCTGTTGCAACTAAACCATTTCCGTTTACGGAACTAACGGTAGGTGCCAAACGGTAATTTTCCATGCCACGCGGGATGCCACGTCAGCTCCTGCAGGGTGAGTCACATGTGGGCCACCATATATTTGGGCCCACAAAACCCAAACAATTCCTGCAATTCGCAATAGGTGCAGCAGTGCAGGTTTACAGCAGCTTTCAAAGTTCATTCCAGGAGGCAAGAGATGAAACGTCGACTCCCTTCCCTGCACATAACAACAACAAAAACATCAAACTCTTACTTGGTGAGACTATCTCCACAAGAAGGAAGAAAGATTGGCTCAAGCTGTTACGGTAAGTTATCTCTACCCTTTGCCGCAATACTCTGTTATCTTACGCAGGCTGTCGCAATTGTAATTATATGGTTCTTAGGGAGATTTCGTTGCTTCTTATTGGCAGCTAATCAAAACGACAGATGAAGCTTTCTTTGGCTATGTTCTTCTTCTTCTTCGTTGTCGACTGATGGAGCAATAGGTTAGTGAATTCTGACTTCTCGGGTTGTTGCTCTGTTTTTCGACTTTGTTTTTCATCTTCATTGTCGGCTGATCAATGGGTGAAAAATGCAGATTAAACCACTCCAAGCTCGTGTTTTCTTGTTGTTTGAGTTTTAAAAATGCGTCCAAGCATTAGGGAAGTAGGGGAAACTGACCAAATTCCGATATATGGTGAGTTTTGCAATTAAAGGTTGCTGGGTTTTTCTTCTCCTGCCATTTTCCAGCTGCAATTTGCTCTTCTCCTGCTATTTTCCAACTGCAATTTGCTGCTGTAATTGTCAATTTGCTGCTGTTATTTAGTTACATATACTTATAGTTTTTGTTTTTGTTTAGGACTGAAAGATGATAATTTCACAATCGAACTTCATTATAAGGGAGAAATGGTGTACATACATGAGGAAGACATATGTTATTTTGGAGGTGAAGTTATATATTTGGATTGGATTGATCCAAATTGTCTGTCTCTGTTCGAGTTAGATGGTTATCTTGTCGACATTGGCAAAAGTATAAAATGAGGCAGAGAAGTATAAAATGAGGGTTCAATTAACATGCTCTTTCCGTTTCAGGGACATCAAAATTTCTTTGGACAAGAAGAGAGGAGGCCCAACATGCCTTCTGCAGCCTTGGGACCTGCTCGGGACCAGAACACTTCTCTTAAGAACACTAGCTGATGTGGTTAAGCAACACAAAAAGGAGCTGCATTTTTTTGGATTTTAGCAGGCTAGAACACGAGTTTGATTTGTTAAGCACCTGTAGTTTTTAGACTGTTAGCAGGTCAGAACAACAACTTAAGACTTTAAGTACCTGCATATGTCTTTGGACAACAGTTTTTGAGGTTTTCGTCAGGCCATATCACTAGTTCATTTTGTTAAAGACCTGCATATGTTTGAGCTTTTCAGCAAGCCAGAACACATGTTCATTTTGTTTAAGCAATTAAAAGACTCCTGGACAGTTCTTTTATGTCTTATGGTCTTCTTTAAGGGTTGTCTACCCTGTACAGATACAACATTAGGTTCCTATATTTATAATCAAAGACAACAGCAATAACAGTTAAAATGAAAGCAAAGACAGCAGCAAGAACAGTTAAAATGAAAACAAAGACAGCAGCAAGAGCAGTTAAAATGTGACAAGATTGCAGCCTTCATTGAACTTGAACATACTTAGGTTCTTTCATACAACTCAGTCCTACAGCTTCTTGAATTCGGATCGAGGAAGAAGGAGACGCCAAGATTGCGAAGAAGCTCACCATTGCTGGCATGTGGTGCATTCAATGGTACCCGGCGGATCGTCATTCGATGACGGCTGTCCTTCAGATGCTAGAAGGAGACGGATGAAGGTCTCTCGATGCTGCCGAACCCGTTTTCTTCGGCGGGTGATGGGAAGATGGAAGGGGTAGCGAAAGGGAGCCGGATTGCTCTGGAATTGGAAGCCATTTCTGAAGAATGAAGTTCTGGAATCTGTGTTGTTCTTAGCGGCAAACTGTCGAGCATGTGGTGGGCATTTCGAATTTCAGGCTCCAACACAAGTTGGCAGTGGACGGAAATGATGTGGCAGGAGCTGATGTGGCCGCCTGCGTGGCATGGAAAATTACCGTTGGGCACCTACCGTTAGTTCAGTGGACGGAAATGGTTTAGTGGCAACAGAAAGGTAACGTAAATGGTTTAGTTGCAACGTAAATTACTTAGGTGGTTAACGTGCAACAAATAGTTAAGTTAAGTGGTAGATGGTGCAATTAACCCTTTATTTGGGTTGTTAATTTCTCGCAGAGGAGTAAACTGTCTAGTTCGCTGCCCGGTTTGCTGAGAAGACCGGAAAGTCTTGAACATCTGTTCTTCAAATGCCCCTTGGCCACAAGATTGTGGTCGCTCATGGGTCTAAATGATTTCATCTCCTCGGCCCCGACTGTGAATTTCAGTCTCTGGTGGCGACATGTTATGCTTTCTGAGCACCCCCAAACCCACATTCTCCTATACGTTTGTGTATTATGGAGGATCTGGAAGTCTAGAAATAAGGTGGTCTTTGAGCATGTCCAGCCTCATGCCCAGTCTCCCGCTCGTCAGTGTTTTTTTCCAAGTTCGCGAACTGTCTTCCTCCCTTCCTTTGGTCCCTGCTCCGCCCCAGCCTTCCCGTTCTCGCCTCTCGTCTTGGTCCCCTCCTCCTGTTGGCTTTGTGAAGATCAACTTTGGTGCTGCTGTTCGTCCTTCTGGGTGCTCGTCTGGTCTTGTGGTGCGCAGTTCAGATGGGCATGTGGCTCTGGCTTTAGGGTCTCTCCATCCCGGTATTGCTGATCCCTATCTTGCGGAGCTCCTAGCAGCTAGGGACGCCATCGCCCTTGTAGTCTCCAAAGTGCTGCCTCGGGTCATCATAGAAGGAGATTCAGAGGTGGTGATTCAGCAGCTTCGTCAAGGTGCTCTCTCTGACTCCATTGGAGTTCCGGTGCTTCGGGATTGCTCCCTTCTCCTTTCTTCCGTCTCTATTTCTTTAGAGTTTAGGGCAGTTCCTCGGACTGCTAACAGTGCTGCCCATAGAGTGGCGCAGAAAGCACTGTTACTCTCCCCTTTAGAGTTTTGCGCCTTTGATTTTGTGGGTTGGCTTCTCTGATGTATTGGGTTGGGCAGGGTCGGGGTAGATTGTATAGGTTTTCTCTTGACATTTCTTGGAAAAAAAAAAAAGCTCTTGCTCGTTCGTTCTCCTTCCAGTTTCTACCGTTTCCCTGTCTTCCACCTCTTTTCACCGGAGAAATAGGACCGACTTTGTAGTTTCCCCGTCTCTCCCTCTCTATCACCCTCTGCCGGCCTCCCCATCTCCACCTCCGGCGCTATCACCACCATTACTCACCCCCTCTGCCCGACGGTGATCAGATGTGCGTCAGCCTCCCTATCTCTCTCTCGGTTGCGGCAATAGCTGGAAAAGCAGTTCCCGAATTGCATGGAAGTGGCATTTTGGAGCGGGAGAAGTGACGATTTAGGTTATCTTAATCAGGTGAGTTAACTCTTGTCTCTGTTTTATTCTCAAAATCGAGAAGGATATGGAATCAAAGCTGCTGAATATTGGTACTCATGAAGCGGGAAACGAGTTTGAGTTTTCATTAAGGCAAGATTTCATGGAACTTGAACCCAGATTAAGACCCCCATTTTCTATAGCAATCCCAACCCCGCAGGAGTATACCCAACTCAATCATGCTCTTCTTTACGGGGTACTTACTGAACCACAGTTTGCCAAGATTCATATTAAGCATCTTCATGGCATTGTCTCCGATGGGTATGCCCTTTTTGTTAGTTTGGCTCTTAGAGTTGTGCTTGAGCTGTACAACAAGCTAGTTGATTCTGTGAAGCAGCAGTTGATTTGGGTTGTTCACGAAATCGTTGGTGTTTCCGGGGTTGGTTTTGATGGTTTGCTGGTGGGTTTGTTGAGGCACACTGTCGGCTGTGATTATACTGATAGGGGCTTGTGGTTGTGTTTTGAGCTGATTAATCTCTTCTTGGCAAACTTTACATCTTTACTGGAAGAAGAGCCCTCTGTGTTGACAAGTGCGTTGTATGTGTATCTTCGATTGTGGGCCGATCATTGTAGAGTATCAGGCAATGTGCGAGTGGACTTGTTGAAGAAATTAGAGATTGAGTTCTGTGTGAAGATGTTGAGGGGGCAGTTTCATTGGAGTATGAAGATTGGGAGAGACCTAGTTAGGCTGCTTCAGGATTTGGTTCATGTCCCAGAGTTTCGCTGTATATGGAAGGATTTAGTTCTGGACGCAACTACATTTAGAACTGAGGGGTTTTCAGATGTTGCACAACTGTACTCTACTAGGACCTCAAGTAGGTACTTCTTGCTTCGAGTCACCCCAGAAATGGAGCTGCAATTGAGGTTCTTACTTGTTCATGTCAAGTTTAGCCATCTGAAGCGTTACCAAATGTGGTTTGCCAAAAAGTTCCTGTTTGAGCCGGAGAGGGAGACTCTTATAGTTGACATGATTCGGTTCATATGCTGTGCTCATCATCCATCGAACGAAATTATTCACTCTGATAGTGTACCTAGATGGGCAATTATAGGTTGGTTGCTAAGTTGTTGTAGAAAGAATTATGTTGAAGCCAATGCAAAGTTGGCATTGTTTTATGACTGGCTTTTCTTTGATGAAAGAATGGATAACATCATGAATATTGAACCAGCAATGCTACTGATGGTGTGTTCCATGCCACAGTATGTCGGCATGACCCAGTCTCTTCTGGAGTTTTTGTTGCTTCTTGTGGACAACTATGACCAGGTGCGTTCTTATACAATCGCTAAAGGTGTTTCGTTAGCCTTCAACAGTCTTGTCACTGAAGGGGTTAACTCTCTGGATACTCTGACATCATGTGATGCCCTTTCACCTTTCCTGAAAGAGCGACTGAAGAAGTTATTGTCAAGCACGAATGAGACACTCCCTCATCAGTTATATCCAGGCCGCCTGTCTCACTGTTCTGCAGATGCTTCACCTTTGGAGACTCCATCTTCACACCCAAAACATGAACCTGCAGGTGCTTGATAACTAGTATGTGTTGAAGAGTCTCAAAATTTCTCAAGAAAAACAGGAAACAGTATTAGACGGCGTGCTGATTATTGTGGGAGTTTTTGATGTATCTGATTAAGAAGCAGAGAGGAATGAAATGTCAAGTAGATGGTTGATTTAACATAGATCGTTTCTAGTTACATATTGTATGAGTGCCTTGGTTGCCTTGTTTTATGGAATCAATCAGAATGGGCAAAGGATGCTGCAATTTTTCCAGTGCATCCCTCGATTGTAAAACATCAATGATGACGAAAGGTGAAAGCAGCTCACTCTGTATTCTGCTTCCTTTGCTAATGGTCCGAATCCCTTGGTTGGTTACTCTTGGGAGAAGGGATCTGGATCCAGAAGAACCATTACAATGGACAGAAAGCTTCTGGCGAGCTTGATCGATCAGTACAAGATTGGGGAGCGAAGCTGGAGCAAGTTTTGCTTCATAATGAAGGCAGTAAATGAGAATTCAGTACTTTCCCCAATTTTTAGAACAGACACAATTATTATTAACATGAAAGCTCCAAGCTTTTCCCATGGCCAGAAATGAGAATTCAGTACTTTCCCCACCAAGCATGAAGCACTCTCAGGGGAAGCAAATAAACAATGTTCGAACCCTTAAGAAGGGGATACAAGCAAACTAAAACAGAGCTTGATCTAGCAAGGGATGGAAAGAAGAAGCAAAATAAGCCCATTAAATCAAATTGTAACTCTGTTATTGTTATCTAAGTGCTTTCATAAAGAAAACGAACAAAATATCAAAAGTACCTATAAATAACCTTGCCTTCCAAGACTATTTGTACCACATAAAACACAAAGGACCCAGGGGCCAATCATCAATGTTTGGACAAGGCCTGGAAGTTGAAATGGTACGGTTTTCATAATCAAATACATACAACTTCATGTCTCGTGCCTCTATAAAGAAAATTGAATTCCTCTGAAACCCGGATTTGCTAGCGCAACATGGATAACAAGCCCAACTGCACCAGAAGAAAGCTCGATCGCCTAAATCGTCCAACATCTCCCATCTCAATAACTCCCAATCCATCTTGAACACTTTTATATCCGTAGGAGTGCTCATAAGCTCGTCTTCTAGACGACATCCGTATTGATAGTATCTGACGAAAAGTAATAGTTCGTCGCATGACTCTACTAGCTTGCACACGTAACAAACCGTTCCTGCTAACAGAGGTTTCGGAAACTCAACCTCTTTTATAAGTTCAAAGATGAAACTCCCATGTTGTAAATCCGTCACAGCGAGATCATATGTGGGATAGAACCCATAAATCTTTCCTCGATGCGCAACAGCTCCAAGAAGCGGATCAATTGCTTGCTTGCTTGACATTTCGATTACTGTCCATTTTTCGTCACCATCTCGCCAAACCATAGTAGTGTCTATGTCTCCGTTGGGATCACCAGTCCAGCCAAACAGCACAGCGAGCAATTTGGCATCATCATCAGGAGGTAAAAGTAGAACAGCGTCGCCGATTATGAAAGTTTTTTCGAATTCCCACTTCGGTAGAGGAGTTTCGATCATGGAGCGTGGATCTAACAAATAACACCCAGAAGAGTTCACTAGTACGAGTGTTCCATGAGCACTGCTAAGTACCACCTTGTTTTCGATGATCTCAACTAGCTCTGCATTTCTCGAATGGTTGTTTGAAGAGTTTTCCTCGCCTAAGTTGATCAACACCCGTCCACCCTCTTTGTTACCGAAAAGAAAACATGGTTCTCCTACTGGGGCTTCCAGTTGCTGGCTTCCTGACGAATATGCACCGCTACTCCGTGGTGGTAACAGAGACAAGTTTCTAATAATGTAATGCTGATGTACGTTATACTGTTGTTCGGATAATGGGATCGAG